TTTAGAAGTATAAACGAAGGAAAACCGAAGTTGAATATAAGCCATCCTATAAAGCCCGACACACGTAATACACCTGCAGGTCGTACGTTTTGTTGACCTCATCATGTGTTCTATCTCAAGAGCGCCACATCAACCCTATGCTTAATTAGAAAGGGTGCAAGTATTGGGGTTCTTGCACCAGCTAAATATCCTTAGACGAACTAATGGGTAACATTCTTTTTCTCACTTGGTTCCTATAGAATGGATACATAAGAACTTTACCTTGACATTTGCCCCAGCTTCTATTCAGATAATTTAATTAAGCAGGTCACACTTGGAGATATTTTTAGGTGCCACGGATTCAAGCCCATCCTGCTAAATCCGTACTAAATGATGCTACCGATAAACTCAATTTAAATGCTGCTATGCTACATTACTGTTGCTATGTTGGTCTTTCTATTGAAAATTATCTTTTTCCTGCCAGGCCGCACAACCTATCAGTTACTCGAGCAAGCGAACGCTGGTTAGATCGCGAACCAATCAAAGAAGGTAATGACGTTTCAATGCGTTCAGGGAAACGAAAGCGTTTACGTATTTCTGATGCTATATTACAGATACGGCACGAAGCAGCCCTAAGGGATATCCAATGCATTAATAGATTAATACAGTAGCTTTCGTTATAACGTACCTACAATACTGTGCACGATAGCACGATGCAATTGTAGGGATGTAATATGGCCCATTGTAAAAGCAGATCGCCTTTAGTAAGGGTCTATACCGTCCGACAATCGTTGATCGACCTATGTACCTTTTCAAGTAACGCTAACTTAGTTAATTATTATTACTTAATTTTAATAATTAATTAATAGAAATTAAATGAAGTACTTATGTCAATGAAATGATTTAATCAAGTAACTTTACAATTTAATTGATTTATTCAGTTAACAAGAATTCAACGTCGCCAATCCTCGAACGGTTTCGACGTCTGAACGGTTTTGCATCCTTTCGGCTGACTAGCGGCTGTGCGTCGTGTCCGGTCCTAGCGCTTGCAATAGCGTCTTCAATAGAGCTGCAGTCCATCGCCATAGTAGGCAACAAGCGCGATAGTATTTCTCATGTTGTAAAGGACTAAGCCATAAATCGCGCATATTGGCAAACGTCGAAGGTTTTTATTCCCTAACTGCGTCCAAACTGATCGCTGTTCATTATTTACGCTCCCGATCGTGGTACTCAGCTATTGCTACCACCCACTCTGGACTTAGCTTCTTGCTGCTGCTGCTGCTGCTGCTGGGAAGCATCAAGGGCTGCTGGCAGTACCTACCAGGCGCCTATTTGCGTCTATTATCGTACTACATACGAAACGCGTGCCCTTCATAAAGTGTTCACGGTCCGAATCTGGCAACTTCGTGTAGTAGATGGCCGCTTGCTCCTTGTACAATAAACATTTGGCCTACAAAATATGTAAAGCTTCCTTCTGTTGATATTAATACTTCGCAGCTGAGTTTTCCGTTCCGTCCCTTGGTTTAGCGCCTATGACCACGTGGACAACTTTATAACGCTACCTCTGGTGCTAACGATAGCTTCAAAAATAGCCTACTTTCTACGGCGATCTGGCCGGTGACTTGTGTATTTTCGGTCTGCTTCTCCGACGGCCAGTCGTTCTCCAGCTTTCGGGTTCCATCGCCTGCACAACTATTGTCGGGCGCAGGCTTCATTGCTGCCAACAACTCGTGAAGAGGCTGACACTATTCGTCTCTAGGGCTTTTACTCCTATTCCCGTGAGTATTACCCAGTGAGTAACGTATTTGCCTGCTTAATTCAGGGATACGTTGTGATCTAGGTTCGAACCCGGGCATAAGAACACTTCGCTTTGTACCGGGAACCAGTCCTTTAGCGGAATGTCGACCTCCCATCGAAATGTAAAAAAGGTTTTCATCCCTGACCGTGGCCGAAGTATCAGTTTTTTTTTGTTTACGTTCCTGACTCTATTCGATCAACCGCGCGTAAGGTTTTTAAAAAAAATTTACTGATAAGGTCAATTCTTTTGCGTCAACTTGATGTAATATTAGGCTGATTCGGCTGTCGCCGATGGCATTGCTTTTTTTTCAGTCGCGAGCTTCGTTAAAAAATATTTAGAAGCTATCTAGATTCAGATGCATAATACTCCTCCCCGGCGTCGTCATCTTGTAGTAGAAGAAACAGTTATTTATTAACTTTCAGATCTCAGGGAAAGTGTCACCTGATAAAATATTTTGGCTGAAAAGAGAAGACTTTGCACCTCGAGTATTGAACATCCGTCATTTGTGCGCCCAATCTCGTGAGTGAAGGCGATCGCTATCGAGCGGGTGATATTCGCTCTTTTCATCTGCCTCAATCTTCACGTTTGAGTTTGGATCTTGTTGTGCTGGATGATGGCAGAGAAACGACTAAGTAAATGAGTGATCTACGTTTTATGCATACTTCTGCCCGGTCTAAAAATATCAGGTCAATGTAAGCCACATTGCAAAGAGTAGGCCAGTGCTACTTGGGACGTAAAACTCAAAATATTAAATTTTTGGCCTGTAAATTATTAGACTGACTGTGTGTGGTTCTCACAGATATTACTTCACAGCTGTGAGGTGGTCAAACACATTTGTTATTTACAAGATTTTGCTTTTCAAACAGTTCAGCTTTTTTTAACTTTTTGTGTACACCGCATGCTATACCATACAAAAACTTAATAGTACTTCAAAACAAGCAGCACCTTTCTCATTTTTAGTAGACTTCGAGGAGGCCTGATAGAAATAAACAAGCGAATGAAGCGAAGGCTGCTACCTATGTGTCCGAAAATCTACAATAGAGTACGTACTTTTTGTACTCTTTGCGTCAGCCCAATACATTTGGCGCTATAATAGGCGAATCATTCGAATTATAGCTACGCTTATGGTACAAATTATAACGGAGCTTCATGAAGAGGATTACCTGTAAAAAAAACTGCAGACGAAATTTACTGGTGTTAATTAGTTTCCGCTACTGTTTTTGGGTTAGAAGGGAGGAATTTAAGCCCAATTCAGAGGTAATCAGGTGAAATCCAAGACCGCCAGTTAATCCGGCCAGCATCAAAAAAAAAGAGCCAATGCTGATGGTTAAGATAATTCACCGAGTTATTATAGTCCTTTGATTCGATAAAATATGTGTATAAAGAATAGTAAATATCAGTAAATTAGACATTTGCCATTTGCGTTGTAATATCTCGCAATATTTGTAGTTAGGATCCAAGCATCACCAGAGGGTTGCACTATTTCGAAAAGAAGTTCGGTTCCACTTCCAACTCCTGCGGGGCTCCTTTTTCATTTCTTAACTAAAGCTAGCCTCGCTCGGGCCACGTGTTGCTTTTAGTTACCAAAAATATGAGTCGCCCAGTGTTCAAGCTATATTACTTAGGCCAAAGAAACAGATTGCTAATTCGGCCTTTCGTTTCGGAACGTTTTATATGGATTTAAAAATATGGCGTTTATTTTTTCCCTATTCATCACGATTTGTTCGAAAAAGTCTATAAAAATTGCGCATTGCGGCCCGTTCTAAATCTATATTGGTTTTTATAACTAGTCCTGTTTTTACCTAGAAATTTAATTACTTGTCTAAGCAGGACTTTCTCCAATAGCCTACAGAAGGTATTAGACGTTACTATTAGCCAAAGGTTATCAAGAATAAGGTCGTGACTTTTGTGAACAGATGTTCTGTAAAAACCTTCGAGAAAAAATCCTTCGTCATTTATTTTGGTTCGTCTAAATGTGCCCTTCTTTACTGTAGTGTGTTATACCGTAAAGTGTTTTTCATTTTATTGGTTTAGTCCATGCCACAGTTTCCTAGCTACAGTATATAAACATCCCATCAGGCGTATTTGGTCTAATTTTTATATGTTCAAGGTTATTAAGATTAAATCTATCCTGAAATATTGTCTGCTTTGATGCTTTGAGCTAGATTATCTATTATTGTTTCTAAGTAAATTACGCTTTTTTTGTAATTTAGCGTTTTAATCAAAGATACTTTTATGAGCTGGCTCAATGAAACTATTCGTTACCTACCGTACTTTCATAAGACACTGTCCAGTTAAAATGTACGGGGTTTTACACTTTATTTAAAAAAAAAAAAAGCATTTGTTTAGCCACTACGGCGTTTGTCTTCTTAACATCTCTATGATTACAATTGCGTAATCTGCGTTCTTTTCCATTACCACTCTCTGATCCTCAATAAAATAAACTCTATGGAAAACGTGCTCAAGTAGCACATCGTTCTTCAGTTTCATAATTTTGAATTGATTACGCGCCGGCCTCATTGGGTCTGGATAGGTTCATAAAGTCGTTCTGGGTAGCAATAAACTAATCGTTCCGACTATGAAGAGGCCGCTCCTAATAAGCACACAATGGTTTTGCATACGTCAGGTTTACATAGTTTCGAATCTAGCCCTCTATCCTTTTGGCTCGCCATGCACTCTTCGTGTATCAATAAAAAAGCAGCTAGCGCAATGCAAAAGGCAACATACCTTACCACCTGTCGTTCTTGTTTGTAGTAGGCACAGCTGGTTCGTTGGCCACGTCGCCGCTGCCGCTGCCGCTGCCGCCGCCATATCTGATTTGCCTTTCATGCCGTAGGACGACGTGCTGTTATTATGGCGTAGACTTCGCTACCGACTGCTCTTTGTGCTGGCAGCCAAACATCTAGGAGGAATGTCTTTGTCCTCGTGGACGTGGCGGTTCCGTGTGCTACGGCACATGAGAGCCGACGAGATTGAGTTTGCGATAAACCCCAAACGTTACACGATAAAAGCGGAGGCACTGGTTGGCTAGCTCGTCTCCGACAAATAAAGAGAAAGCAAAATGAATGGGCGTTGTGAGACGGTTTGTGGTGCGAGGAGACCAACTGCATTGACGCGTTTATAAAGCGGTGACGTCATAGCAACGGTGGTGACAACGAACGGCTGTCACTCTACCTACAACCGTGGTAGTATAAACGGTGAATAGAAGCTAGAAGGTAAGCATTCGAACATGGCAGCAGTAGGAAACAACGGAAAGAAAATCGGCTTCCATCACGGAAAATTGTGCCTAGACAAAACGCCGTAGGGCCAGTCAGTCTTGGGACAAGTTCATTCTGTATCATTTTATGTCACCTCCAATTGGTATGTGTAAGCTCAAGGCAATTGCTTCGAGAAGATATCTTGAGCTGCTGTACTTGTTTTCATCAGACAACTGTGCCAGTTTCTGCCGTAGCAGCAACTAACTACAATAAGAACAAAGGCCAACTTGGCCAGCGTAAGTATTTTTTCAATTTCTACTGTTTAGCCTTCGAACGTGGATATTTTCCTCTGTGTACGGGCGTATATGTCGATGTGTAGGAGTGTACGATAAGGCTATGTAAGCGAATGCGTTATCGGTGTTCTTGCCGACGCGCTATTTGTCGTTGGTGTTATTTCAGCAACAGCTGTAGAGATTGTGATCCACTTTGTCATCCGGAAACACCGCACTGTATCATTGGACCGTAAAGAACCTTCGTCAGGAAAGAAATCTTTCTTTGGCCAGTAAACTGTGTTCGAGCTCCACCACCTACATTTTGTGGCTTGTGGAACTAGTTACTCGGTGCCATTATCAACTGGAAGCTGGTTGTGGATATTGAGAGACATGTGTGAATAGGACTGCGTGACGTACATGGTGAATTATTGGCGTGCTAAGGCCAGTGCACCCTGGTATTGGTCGGTCGAATACTAACCTAGTGATCTAGATTTTCAAAGAAAAAAAAGAAACGGTGGAATCTTACTTCTAATCAGACAAATATCCTCCTATTCGTTTTCAGTTATATATCAGAGATTTCTAGCTCATATCAAAACCATATGTAATAAATGTATAAATAAACATTTGATCATTAACGCTCCATCGACACGTGGCAGAATGCCGTTCTATTTCAGTCGCTTCCTTATTTCATTTTATTAGTAAAAATTCATTTTATAAGTATCTAAAATTAGAAAGTCATCATAAAAGTCTCATATCGTATGATCAGAATCAGAAGTAACGATATAAGATTTAAAATTACATGTGAAGTATTTTCTAGGCACCCACTCCACCACTCTATACCTCTGTAGAAATCGCTAATGTGAGCTTGTTATTGTCGTTTACCAGCACTTTACACATGCTAGCAGAGTTCAGTGTTAACTTTAGCCTATACATGCGCCTATGATCACATACATTTTTCAAATTTAGCGTATTTATAAGTGAGGATGTCTGAAGGCCCCTTTTGGTGATGAGAAATGCTAAATTTACGGTTACTGGCCGTTGTAGTGCCCTTAAGTTCTACAGAGATTATCAAGATTTTGAGGTGACGAACCACGCCTCGAACAAAAGCTAAACTGAAGTAGGTGTTAGAAAAGTTTAAATGCAGTTGCAGATAGACTTTTAATGGTTTATAGATTTTCAACCCCATTCAAATATACCATGTTTATAAGTTACCGAACACTGTTACAATAGATTACTATTACAACCAGCCTAGAAATACCTGGAGACGCCTTGCTTGAAAGTTCCTATAAACTCTTTGATTTATTTCAACGCCTAGAACGGTTGTTTTAGACGTTAAAATTGCAATACAGTATTGCGGACAGACTTCAGCAAGTTACACCTTACAATTGGCAAATACACAATTAAATCATAGGGATTATTCTAAGATAAGGAAAGCTAGTGAGTAAGCTGTTTTAATTTCTAAGAAATATTGGCTCCTTTTCTAAGGTATTCATTCTACAAAATTAGCCGAGACCGCATACATCATACAACGGGTCTCGATTTTTTTTTCAACAAGCGTACAGCGTCAATGAACTTTTAACGTGTTCAAGGTCTCCTTTTGCTTATGTTCGCATTGTAATTAAATGGCACCCGTAAAAGGAACAAACACTGCGCTGATTAATCAGACAGTGTGCCACATCAGTCTATCCGTACTTTTTAGGGTGTCACACAGCAGACTTCATTTCAATCAACTCTATTAGAGCTTACTTTTCAACCGTGTTCATTGCAAGGACAACAGTAGCTCGCGGGAGCAGTAAGACGCGCTCGCATCACTATCATAATGGGAACTATTGTGAAAGCCTGTTGAAATCCATGTCCCTTACGCTAAATCTATCGCTTCTATTCCTCTATTGTAAAAGCAAACAAAACGTTCTACGTTGCTGGTAACGTGTGTTTAGATTTTGAGACATGTGTTATTAGAATGATAACAAACTCTAATCATTAGGCCGTCAATTACCTGTGGCCTTGTTACATCGACCATCGAATGAATGCCTGAATTGCATACCCGAAATAACATATCTAACTAGCACCCATATATTCCCATATATTCTTGGCACAAGTTCCCTGTTTGTTAGCAATCTGAAGTAGGTGAGGGATTTATGGCTTAATACTGCCTTCATGAGGGTACAGTATCTCGGTCTATAGTAGTCGATCTTTCTAATTGTTTTGCACATCAGAAAGCAAGTCCCTGCTGTGTCGCTTATGAACAGGCGACTCTGTTGGCTCTACTATCCACCTAAAGAGGGCGCGCATAACACCGTGCAAGAACTGAGAAAAACAAAATATTGAAAATATTATCAGAGATTTGTAAATCTAACTCAACGGATGTGGCATCTGAAACGCTTCATTTACACAGAACCTTTGTATAATATGATGCGGTGTTTTTAGATCTATCTAGTAGAATACTTGAGTAAAACGATTGTGAACTGAGAAATCATAGAGTATGTTCGATGGTTCGAGATACTCTATCATACTTTTTCGGAATCGGGCAACACTTAAGCGTTGCACAATATTCATAACTTAAAAGCATAAAAAAAAATTAAATTAAAAAAAATACACTTAAAATTAATCATATTGCTTACAAGTACGCTAACAAATGTTTAAAAAAAAAACAGCTCAACAAAACATTTTCTCTGCCCCCTTTATGTCTACTGGATTATAAGTGAGAAACGATGCCTTACATAGCGAGTTCTTCAGCAAAAAATAGATAAGCCCAAAATTTCGAGGGAGTTTTACTTAAATTAGTCGACGCATCACTTACTAATAAACTGCTTGTACTCGATTGACTACCAAGAATATATGTATCAGGCTATTACAGACCAGAATTTGAATAACTTTTAAATTAATTTGGCTGGAACGATAACTTGTGTTGCATGTACTCTTTTTTTTATTGTATGTACACTTGTCCCAGCTCCCTGGCAGTCTCTAGACAGCTATATATCTCCCTTCACGTTCCCATATATATTTCTTTATCTATAGCTTCTCGAGGTAGACAGATAATAAGATATGCTTGCTCTATCTTTAAAACTATGGAAAGGCCCGTAATTAGACAAACTTAAATCGAGGGAATAATCGGGTTTAAACCAGCCTGACATATTCCTTTGCTTAATCTAGGAAGAAATTGAGTCATGACGATAAGATCTGGCGTTGCCATCAATTAACCAGCGTGCGTGCTTTCGACTGCCATACAAATGATCTATAATTCTTCAGAGCTATTGGAAAAAGCAGGCCACGTTAATTTCCGGCGAGTACTTCGTAGTAGTGTATGTCTCTAATGTTCATTGCAGGTAGTAGCATCACCTTACGTCCGAATTTCCTCAACACTATCACTGAACTAACGAGAGCGATACCATTTTTTTACTGCTTTCTCCTGCTGGGGAGTAGAGATTGGGCTATGGCTCGATGATGCCGACCGTACGCTTCAAACGGACTCTTTATTGACTAAAGATTTGGCAAACTGCACGTAAAATATGCCACACAGATACAAGTTCTGTGATTTCGCTCAAGGCCTCTTCACCTAATCACCGTCGATAAATTTCCACAGCGCTGTGGCCTTCGAGGACCAAAAATTTGCCAACAAAGCATTGGTGTTCAAGTCTAAAAAATGTTTTACCTTCTGAAGTCATTTCTTCTGGAGTAAACTCAGTATTTCACTCACCGGTTTCTAGGACACTGGAGTATTCACAGCCTACTAGTAGTGCATAGTTCAAATGTTGCAAATTTCAAAATCGGCAGAGTTAATTCAGTTGCAAAGTACCGAGTTTTTTTCCGCTTCCATGCTAATTTTCTCTTTCGAAAGGCTTTGTGAATTTATTACTTTTAGGTAATTAACTATTACTTCTATCAGAAGAAAAATCATATGGCAGACGTCGATCTTCTAGGGTCTACTATCGATTTCGTGCTATCCACTAAAGGACATGACTATAACTCTCACGTGATTAAAAACGATGAGTGATATAGCGCCTCTGGCTAGCGATATGTTCAGGTACCGCTAACGTAAATAGCAACGCTTTCCAGGACCAATGCACCCATTGTGTGAGCCGGTTTGGAGCAAAAGCTCGAAATACTCCAGAACTAATGGCGATCAAAATACTCTATCAGTTCACTCCGCCCATCGCAACACGCATTTTTCGTCGTGGCCTGCATACGTAACTAATTGACTTAATTCACTTCCGAAAACTCGGACTAAGACATTAGGTAATAGAGGTTTATACCAGAGCATCGAAATATGCCGACCTCGAATCGAAGGACGTAGATATCGGCTTCACTTAGATCCAGGATTAGAGCACTGGATCCTTAGAACTAGGAAGCGTGCTAAATATTTAAATAGCTTTTTTTTTACAATGAGTGTCGATGATAAGCCCGAAAGTTTACAAAACTGTAATTAATTATCGTTTGAACTTCGATATATGATATATTTACTGACAATACGATTTCTTTTAACTGTGACAGCATTTGGGTCTATTGATCCAAGTCCTTCGGTTTGATGATGTCCTATTCGTTGCTGGTTTACAAATGGGCACCCATTTTCCCTTGTTTGTCTCACAAGTTTACTTGGAAACTTATGACACGTTTATCTGTCTCCGGTTAGGGCATACAACTTCAAGAGCTATTTTTGAGTCCAGTTAAGATAAAACTTAAGCAGCAAGATTTTTCCTATTGAATTACTTCGTTATTCGTTTACTGAAACCGCCAATTGTTCCCAATGGAAAAACCATGTCACATATGAATCGTATTATCTGCTATAGAATACCTAAGATTATGAATATTTTTTAATGGGAAAAGATTGACCAGTTGTGTAAGCTTTACTATGACCGCCATATTGACCGGCCCAGGTGTTTATAATAACATTCTGTTCACTTTGAACGCATAATATTAGAACAATAGCTATAAAAAGTGGCAAACATAAAATCAATTTAGAGAGCGGTTATTTTCTAAGCTCATGTCTCATTATGAATTCAGTGCACATCTAAATGGAAGACTGCTGCCTAAACGAACTTCAACTTATTTATTAAAGGAATATTTCCTAATGGTTGTAGTGGCTTTCGGGACAGAATTTAGCGATGTTTCAATTTAAAAAAACGATTGTCTATGCAGAAAAAATAGTTGGTGGGAAGTTTACGCCCGCACGTTTTTCCGTGCCGATTATTTTGTCCCATACAGAGATGTACAGTCCTACTATATTGCTTTGACAACTTAAATTTTTAAAAACAAACAGACAAAAGCTCTAATAAAGAGCTGAGCTTTACGACGTAGAGAAAGATCGTACGAAGACTTTGAACAAAGAACAAAGACTTTTGAAGAAGACAGTGTTTACTCAGGTTGATTATTTTTTGCAATTATCTCTCTTGCTCGTAGCGCCAGCTTTTTTTTTTCAATTCCTAGAAGTGTTTCCGGTTATAAAATACCACATGCGAAAAATGTAAATACACATAGCGGCTGCATGGATGGTCTGTTTGAATATAGCTTTCAATATAACAACCAATTCGCTACGGAAGAACTGCAACTAAGATATACTCCCGCTTTACAAATTGCTTCAATCGGGGACGGAATAATTGAGTATCTAGGTGGAGTCCCAACGAATCTTTCCCTGTTTCGGTGAAATGGCAAAGCTCGTTTTGCTCGAACA